GGGACAGTTCGAAGTGACAAGGCACTGAAAAAAATGCCTTTATGACCATTTTTCATACTTACGACTTTTGCTGAATCCCATGGTCACATGATCAAAATTCAGGCACTGAACAACTGGCATATATTTGTGATAGTTTATTCTCCTGAGGTCATATATAACCTTCCCATTTGTAACCTTCCCAGCTGATTTCCAACAAGCAAATCCAATGGAGGAAGCCAGATTCGCTTAATGACTGCATGATTCACTTAATAGCTGCAGGCCGGATTCACAGTCAACAACTGTAGCAAAAATGGCTGCAAAGTGGAGCAAAACTCACTTAACAGCCACCTTTGTTTATTATGGAAATTTTGGGCTCAGTTGCAGTTGTAAGTCGAGGACTACCTGCAATGTTTTGGTTGGCATTATGTTACACACTTCCCAATTGTCCATTTATTTGAAGAAAATATTAGCTTTTCTTCTTTATGAGTTCTTACAAGATTTATCGACATCGTTCATTGAAAGTCCCTACTTTCCCTCTTCTGTTGGTTTGTTCTTCTGACTGACAATTTGAGAATGATGACTCATTTTAATCTTGTCTGTCTTGTTTTCTGTTTTTCTTAATGTTTGTCCCACATGGCTGTAGTGTGCACTTACTTGTCCACTTGTTTGAGCTAGTTCTTACACAAACTACCAATGCATGATGTGGCAAGGAATATTTTTTCAAATTGCTCTTTGCAGTGCTTGATCGTGAGCTACGAAAGAGTGACTGGCTCAGGGTCACCCCACTGACTTCTGCACCTCTAAGGGAGAACTAGAATCTGGGATTTGGTTTTCTTAGCCCAACATCTTAATCACAACACAGTATGTATTGGCCCTTATTAATCCTTATTAAAGTTAATTTCTTATCATTTAAAAATAAACCCTCTGGATATGTTTATTTCTCATACAATAGTAATGAACTTTAAAGCAATTTTAAAGCAAAACATTTGCTAGACCAATTCTCGAATACAGCTCATCTGTCTGGAACCTGCACTGCATATCGGACAGTAACACAACTGAGTGAGTCCAGAGATATTTATCTTTTGGTAACCCAGGCAGCACTTTTGAAAATGACCACACAGGGCCACAGTTAACATCAGTGCTATCCTATTCTTGTTGCTCTTTAAGGATGAGGGTGGGATCAGTTGAAATGCAATAACAAGACGCAAACAAAGAACCAAATGCCAGATGAAAATCAGTGCTTGTAAATCACTCTGATATTAAACTATAATAGAATAATATGAGGGTTCTCCCTTGTAGAGAACCAGCAATTTTTATGAAAGCAGATGAAAAGCCTACTAATTCTATACTATACTATATTTCAGTAGCTTAATATGACAGAATGACATTACTGCATCTTCTGGATGCTTTTATGCCTCTAACACAACATTATAAAATATATCCAGTCATTAAATGCTAATGATAGGAAAAAGAAAACTGGGGATGGGGAAATTGTGTGACATTAATACCAGCTGCAAAGTATTTATGTAATAAATTCTGGGCAGAAACTGCCTAAGTAAGCCATGTGAATGTCAACGCCAAGACATGTAATCCCTCAAGATTTGTAACCATGCTTAACTAATTCCTGAAGAGTTGTAAAAATGGGAGTCTGCCTTGAGGGTAGAAATGAGTAGCTAGAGGATCATTTCTCAGAGTGCTCATACTTTTATTTTTACAGGAGGACATGTGTTGGCAAGCTTAAGCAGCCAACATCAGACATTGTTCTCAGCTCCATCAGCATGGAAGTACCTGAACTCCATTCTTAGTACTAATCATACCAGAAGATTGCCTGGAAATTCAGATTCCTTTCATGTACTTCATTTTACCACAACATACACCAAGGCAGTAGATGAGCTTCTTGGTGGGTTGTAAAGGAAGGTCCCAGTTTGCTAGCAATACCACACTCAACAAAGAAGGGACACAACTCTTAATTCCCTCTGTTAAATATACTGAGTGATTATATTCATTTAGTTCTTGACTTACAACACTTACAAATGCTTGAATTACAACAATTTATTTAGTGACTATTCAAAGTTACAATGGTACTGAAAAAAGTGACTTATGACTGGTCAGATCATAATATGATTCAATGGGCTTTGGTTGGAGTTACAGACTCTTATCAGGCCATTCTTGTAATCACAGACTCCATGAAAGAGTATGTAGGTCTCTTATAGGATAATATGTCTTCAGTATTTACATGGAGTTTTGTGTGTGTGTGTGTGTGCGTGCATGCGTGCTTCCTTGTGCCAAAGATGTGAGACAAGAAAATTTGGTTGAGGAATCTAAAAAAAAACAGAAAAAGGGGAAACGCCTTTAAAAAGATAAAGAATACTTTACAAAAATACATGAAAGGAGATATGAAGAAAGATATCTGAGGTTGGGGTGGGGTGCCTATAACTTTTTGTAGGCCAAAGATATATACTGTGTTTATCTCTTCTTTGCCCAACAAATGCTTTGGCCCTGCCTCTTTTATCTGCATTTTCAGTTATGGGAACAGAAGCTAAAAAGAAGTTTGCAATTGGTTCAAGATTAGAACTGCTGCACCCAGCCTGCAAAAATCCAGACTCCCATGGATGGAAGCAAAGGTTATGTTAGATGTACCTCTTTGCTGCCAACTAGTGGTCATCCATAGCTCAGACATGATACAGATAATCCTTCTGGCAACCCTCCCTTGCTTCAGCAGTCTCAGCCCATTGCCAGGGGTCATGCTGACGTGTCTGCCCCATGGGGGGGGGTTGTACGAGCCCACCCTGGACTTGCCAAGTGCCTGGGTGCAAACATTCTAGCCTGACCTGCTTCCTGCAACAGCTTCTGCCCATTAATTTTCCCATTAGGTGGGAAAAAAACAAGCACTTTTCTATAGTGACAGATAGATTAATCAAGTGTACAAAAGAATGTAGCTTATTATTTTCTCAATCCCATAAAATCTTGCCTTAGCATATACTGCATTTCTATGCTTAATTGTTGTTTGTCATTTTATGAGCTCATTTAATTTAGTTCTGAACTTTGAAGGCTGAATGCCAAACAATTTGAAAGTGAAACAGGCCAACCCGAAAAGAAAACAAAATTAAAAATCCTAAACAGGTCTGACAAGTCTTCAGGACATACAGAAGTTGATAGCAGCTGAGCTTATAGGCATGATGGGTATGATCTAAAGCAGGGGTGTCAAACTCAATTTCATTGAGGTCTGCATCAGAGTTGTGTTTGACCTCTCAAGGGGTGGTGGTAGATGTGGCCAGGGTGGGTGTGGCCAGCTCGATGTCACTTGTGTTGGGGGCATCTGCGGTGGCCCAAGCACTCTGCCAGGGAAAACCGGCTCCCAAATTCTGTTTTCAACTGCGATGGCCTCCTGCAACCCTTTGCCAGTGAGCTGGGGAGAGCCGCATGCCTGTCCGCTGTTTCTAGGGCGGCCCAGTGGACCAGATCTAAGCACCCCATGGGCCAAATCTGGCCCGCGGGCCTTGATTTTGACACCTCTGATCTAAAGACTCATGAAAGATGGATAGCTGTCATAGAAGCAAAAGCACATTGTTAGATCAATGACTGAGCAAAAAACTTTGGAGCTGCATAGGATCTCCCCTGAAGGCCAGGTCAACTTTTGGGGATTCACATAATTGAAGTTGTTGTTTATTTTTTCTGAAATATTGCAAATATCTTGGGGTGGGCAGGGTAGGTCAGCTGATTAGCTGTAGTCAATTGGGACAGTGGTCTTTATACAATACAGGTTTTGTGGTGCCTTTCCAAGTGTGGATATTTTGTTATACGTTTTTGATATATTTTTGAATTTTTGCTATTCAAGGTTTTTGTTAGACATGTTTGGGAAGTATTCTCAGTAATAACTGAGAATGTGGAAAATATCAGAGGGGTCAATAGAATCTAAGATTATTTTTTTTTAATGGAGAGGATGCTTTGAATATATGGTAGGTTTCAGTTTATCTTACTGGCAATAAGAAATTAGTTCAGCCAACCATTTTTTTTTCTTTTGTTGGTTGACAACAAGGGGAGATGTAAGTATTTTTCCTCTGTGATCATTTGGTACTCAAGCATAAAATGATTGACTACATGGGAACTTAGCCATACAGTTGACCATGTGTAGGAATTGTATTCATTCTTTTGTGAATGTTGTGTTTTGCTTCTCTTGGTCCCTTTGGCTGATGATGAATTTTAATTCAAAGTAATGCGAGTTTTCCACTTTGCTCAGAGTTCACTATATTTATAAGATGGATGAATTTTGGTTGGCTTTAAAAAAATATTGTTTGTAGTTTTGTTTTTGGGCAAATAGTTGCAATGAGTGGCTGACAACAACAACAACAAAATTAGTAGCAATAACAATAAATTTACATTAGTAATATATGTTAGCCTGGATATAATTTGTTTTTGTTCTACCTGTCTTACCACATTTCTGCATCTGATTAGCAATCTGGGCAGACACCAAAGGCGGAATAAATTTCCCCTCACTACTTGGCAGAGCATGCAATCAGTTTAAAACGGCATTGCACAAACACAGTGCTACACCTTGATAAATAATGATTTGGGTTCATTCTCATCCTTTGCGTCATTCCCCACTCCCCCCATGCTTCTTTTCCCAATGCTGAGTTAAAATACTCTCCAGTTAAAATGCTCTCCAATCTTTCTTCAGTCAGCAGTAAACTTCCTGGTACAAAATCCACAACAGCCATTGCTGATCCCTGCTCATTACTCCTGCCATTGGTTTGATTCATTGTCAAATGGTACTGTCCAGAGTATGCACACACAGAGCATGATAAGCAATGTGATTGGCTGATTCCTCTGGCTTTGCTGTTTTCCTTTTTCTATGTCAACAGCTGGAGGAACGGGAAACTACCAGTCACAATGCTGTGGCAGGTGTAGGGTCGATCTGATCCAAGGGTTTAGATTTAGATTTTTTTTTTTTTAGATTTTATTGAACATTTATATGCCGCCCTTTTCCCTGAGGGGACTCAGGGCGGCTTACAACAATGGGNAATAGTAAATTCCATAGTAATTCCAGAACCAGGGTAACAACGTGCTATTAAGCCTTCAAAATGCTTGTATTGGCGTATGAATTCGTCTTGCATGGAATGCCATACCACCTACCAACAAAGGGGGAAAAAGAGAGAATCTTTAATAAAAAGGAAGCTTTAATAAATAAATGAAAAGCTCCAGTCAAAAACTCCACAGGTGAAACCACATTAAATATTTTCAGTGTTATATCCCAGAAGTACCTGGGGAACGTGAATTTAATTTCATGCACTAATGCCTGAAGCATCAATGAGTTTCCACTCAGGTGCTAACCTATATTTGAGTTGCGTGACTTAAATGACCTCACAGTCCTTCCTACAAACATCTCAGCCAGGGGTGGGTTTCTCGCCCCGTTCCAACCGGTTCAGTTGGAACGGGACCGACGGCATCCTCGTGCACGCGCGCGGTGCACACATGCATACTAGCGTCTGTGCGATGCTCCAGCTGCTCCTGGAGGACCGCGCAGGCGCTGTATGCGTATGCGTGGAAGCGCAGAATTCGTCAAAACTGGGTAAGGAGCGCGGGCGGGCGGGCGCGCCCTTCGCCGTTCCCGGAAGTTACTTACTTCTGGGTTCGCCGACCAACCGGTTCGCAGGGACCGCCGCGAACCGGTTGAAACCCACCTCTGGTGAGTATCTTCACTGCTATTTTCTAGTCAGCCAGTGGGTCACCAACTGACCAATGCAAAATTGGAGGAAAAAAATTAACCCTCATCAACACTTGTATTTGTCTCTTCCCATGTGGTTTTTCTTTTTGTAAAGGAAGCACAAATGGAAGGGAATTTGAGCTATGTAGAAGGGAGCATGTAGCAAAGATGTCCCTTGATCCAAGTACGAAGGATGGAAGGATGATGGCTAGATGCCACATTGCCTTGACTATAAGAGGGAGGAAGAAAATCCCAGGAGCTGGATGAAAAGATGTGGAAAGACTTCCCACTAATTAAAATGCTAGGCTCTACAACTACCTTTGCAAAACTGTCTTTGCAGCATTCAGTGGGAGCAGGAGCTGAGCCAATAGTTAAATTAATTGGCTCAGTTTCTTAAGCCTTGGTAAGCCCGATGGTACAGTTGAGACAGAAGGACACAGCTCCAATCTTGTCAGTACAGGGCTTCTATGTGCGAAGAGTTTATTTTTTTACACACAGAGACACACACACTACAAATATAGGTCTGTTTGTGCTTTCTGCGAATTACCTAAGTCTCGCATAGAACCGGATAGAATGGATGACAACTTTCCAAACCTTACATAGACCATTTGCAGACTTCAGTTCAAAATCAGGTTATTGGGTTCCTCCTGCCTTTTGCCACTTTTATTAAATGAACAGCAGAGAAGTTGCAAAGAACAAGAGGCAGGAAGAAAAATAACTCTTGTCTAAGTACAAGATAATTGCTTCCATATGCTTACGCACACGGGCATACACACATGTCTGCACACACTCTTACATTTATATAATACCCAAATAATTGGAGAAAAAGACGACAGATAGATCACTTCATGAATAACTAGAAAAAAACAACAACTTATCATTGTAATAGATTCTTTGTGCAGGAGAAGCAATGAGAAAAGTATGTTTATTCAAACAGGTGTGTCACCGAATGAAAATGAAGCATGTAGCTAAAATTGGACAGGTGATACAGAGTCCTCAGTTTTCTTTCCTTCTCTTCTTGAATAACTCACTGTCAAAATCCTAAAGACACAGAGATAGGGGGCAGCAGGTCATCTCTTTTGTACCAGCTTCTGAGGTTATGTAAGGACAGGGAAGGCTGTGGAAAGAAAAGAAAAATCAATTAGTCTTGAGGGTTTGAGGAAGGTATGTCCAGTGACAGATATCTGGTGTGCTTGCATCATGTGTTTGGGTATGTTGTGTGTCTAGTGATGTTTTCGACTCCAAACCTTCAGAAGGTAGAAATACCGCAAGATGAAGAGATAATTAAGAAGATATTAGATTGTGCAGAAAGACTTACATTGAAAATCCAACAGAAAGAAGACATAAGATATTATCAAACATGGAACCTATTTGACCAGTGACTGGAAAAAAGAGGTAAAGAGGAAGAAGGGAATTGGTATTGTTAAGCAATCTAAATACACAAACAACACGATGTTTATTAAGCACTAAGAAATGTAATGAATAAAAAATTAATAACATTTATTTAAAAAGAAGAAGGTAATCCTGATGGCATTGGCCTGGTGAAAAGGGATCTCCTCCTTCCTCTTTTGCACAAGAGCCTATGAGCCACGTGGAAGGAGCCCTTCTTCTCCCACGGAGTTCAAACACCGCGAAGACAAGCGGCCTCTTGGCAAGGCAAGTTTGGAACAGCAGATTTGCTGAGGAGGCACTATTTAAAAGATTACGGTGAAAAGGGAGTGAGAGGAAGGGAGGAGAGCAAGAGGAGGAGGGAAAATGAGGTTAAGAGCTTGGAGGATAACGTGAGAAATCTGGAATGAGAAGAATGAAGATTTTTGAGCCCAGTTTGTCCTAACATCTACTGTGTGAAATAGTCACTAATTGGTGTAAGAATAGCCTTGGCTTATTTTTCTTTCTTTTTCTGGATATATTTTTTTCCACATGCCCTGCCTGGCTGTTTTATTTACAATGTAGAGTTGTTAAGATTTGTCTATATTTTTACCACAATTTATTTAAAGAGTCTGTGTACTGAAACAGATTTAGTTTCATAGAGAGGAAATATTTAGGTTACCTATATATCGCCTAGGCATATATATGACCAGAAACAGATGCACACCAGAGGTGGTATTCAGCCAATTCTGACAGGTTCTGGAGAACCGGTAGCGGAAATTTTGAGTAGTTTGGGGAACCGGAAAATAGGCTGGCTCCACCCCCACTGTCTCTCAGCCTCCCAGCTGATCTTCTTTTGTTGCCCTGAACAGGACAACGGAGCTGGAAAGCAGGTTAGTGGGGTGGGGAGGGAATGGGGATTTGCAGTATCCTTCCCCTGCCGTGCCCACCAAGCCACACCTACCAAGTCATGCCCACAGAACTGGTAGTAAAAAAATTTGAATCCCACCACTGACGCACACTCTGAGGAGAGCAAGCCAAGATTAATATGGAGCATTCCAACACTGCATGGCAAAATCCTGGTAGAACAAAAAGAAGCAATGACCAACAATTATCACTCTTCCTGCTTTTTCTGTTGTCTTCCCTTAAATCCCATTGTGAACAATAGATGGGAATTAATGTGGACCAATCAGGAGCATCTGAATCAGGGCATTGGCGAAATGAGCTCATTTTCAGAGAAAAGTCCAGTCTGGCGCTGATGTAGCCATAAATGATTCACTGCAAGACTGATGGGAGACCTGAATTCCAATCCTGCTTCTTTTTTATTCTTTAATGGTCCAGGATTCCATTAAATGGGACGTCGTGGAGACTGAAGTAACTCTTGTTCTGTTGCTGCTGTCATGAGCAGGATAGAAAGCAGGATGAGATCATACTTTTACAAAGATTCTGCAAATATAAAATTGACCCTAAGCACCAGGATAGAAGCAGATGATTTAATCCAACCGCTTGCCCTGTTGCACAGGAAACCACTCCTAAAGCATGCCCAACAGACATTTAAATATCTCCAGTAACTCACCATCTCCTGAGGCAGTGTGTTCCATTGCTGATCACCTCTCACTCTTAGGAATGCTTTTCTTGCTCTCCAACTGACACCTGAATCTTTGGGAATTATGCTGTATTGCAAATGGCATTGATCTTCACTTTCAACACCCTCCTTTGCATTGTCTATGGACCTCTGGACTGTTGTGCTTTGTTCACATGGTCTTCTTTCAGTGGAAAAGCTTGTTTCCTTGCCAGAGGCATTGAAACAAACCTAGCTGCTTTTCACAAAAATAATTGTGCATAGGCTGGAGCACAAGAACCTAACAACTACTCCTCTTTCATACAGCCACAGCACTTTTACATTGGATTTTCAGGACTTACCAAACCACCAACTAGACAACCACACTTTTAGCTTAGTGTGTCTTCTGAATGCATTGCATATAGTTAGTTTCTTTTCAGTGTGTCGTGTAAAAACTCCCTCCACCCTCCAATTGAGCTCTTCAAGTATGGCTCCATATGTAGAGACAGAATCAGATCAATGTATGAGTGTATGGGAGAGGGGGCATGGGCACTTGTGGGGAGAATTTATTACATCTATGACCTGTCATCCTTGTACAATAATGAAATGATGTAATTAGCTTCAGTCATCTCATATGACACAACTGAGACAAATTAGATGAACATATATGATATATCATGAAGTGCATGATATCATATTTGGTATCATATCACTTTGATGTAGATTTGTAGATTTGTAGATTTATTGAACATTTATAGGCCGCCCTTTTCCCTGAGGGGACTCAGGGCGGCTTACAACAATGGGGGAAGGGAGTGCAAGACAAGACATAAAAGAAAAAACGTGAGTACAAAAAAAATTAACCATAAAACACAACATTCACTCAACATTCGGGCGGGGTGAGAATAATCCTATCCCCAGGCCTGACGGGATAGCCAGATCTTGAGGGCTGTGCGGAAGGCCTGGACTGTGGTGAGGGTACGGATCTCCACGGGGAGGTTGGATCTCCACGGGGAGGTTGG